CAACGAGATTTTCCTCCCTTCTCCTTGTGCTACTCCGCAAAGATTTAATCTGCGGTTGTCTGGGCAGCTCTCTGCTCCTGTAACCAAATGAAAAACCATTATTGTGTGAGCTACGTGAAGTCAGGGAGGCGGGGTCAACCACCAGACCATCAGAGTAGTACACTGGGTGGGGGGGGGTGGGATTGGTGGTCTCTACCTATTTGTGCATCCATCTTGTTTACACAGTGATTAACTGTGGTTTCTTGCCCATCTAGCATGTAGTTAAAGCAGATGTTTCCTGGTACATTCAGCTTCTAATACAGCCTGAAGTCATAATATCAACTATTCCCAGTAATATAGATTCCACGCACTCAATTTCTGATCAGACTTGCAGGAGATATTAATTTTTAATCATTTGGCGCGGGTAACACTCGAGTGACAGCTGTGAGCCTCCAAGCATGTTTATCCATGAGAAATCCACATATGTTTGGCGAGAGTTCGGCACCTCTGCTCTTCACACATGGGGTACGAAATAATCTGCATTTAACTCCGCAAATTGGAAATCATTTACGGTTTCCCCATGAGATACGGTGCATCTGACTCCTCCCTCCGCCATCTCCTGTTTCCAATGGTCTTAGCTCCTTTTCTCAGGTCAGACGTGGGGGGGGGGGAGGTAGCAGATAAACATCAGCTGTTATTTTTAAATGATCAGCGTCATCTGCACACCCCCTACCTTAATGGAAGCTGACGAAGGAGATCTCTATTTTAAGTAGGAGCTTCCCCCGTTGTTCTGCGTATATAAAAAGCTTCTGGCTCCTTCTCTTTCCGAACCGTCCCGTTGAGTTGTTTGTACCAGAACTGGCCCCGTCTGTGTGCTACACCTGTTAGCGGTTGTTCTTGGGCTTGTGGCCGGGAGCCGGAATCCTGAGGCCTTGTGAGGTGCCAAGGGCCTTACGTCTCCTGGTGCATCAGCAGACTCCCCGAAAGCCTGCGGAGAGAGACCATACTGTGATGATAATGTCATGATAAGGCGCGTCCTCCTTCTGACGGACTGGTAAGGCGAGCACTCAGACTCGGCGATAGAGATGGCGGAAATATCTGTTCTTGTGAGTGCTTGATTATTCCGGATGAAACTGGATGGGACACAAGCCTTTTGTCTTCAGGGTAGTAGGAGCTTCAACCTGAGGCGGGCTGGCTGGTCCTGCTGCTTCTTCCTGAATTATACACAGTGCAGATCTCATCCGAAGCACTTTGGAAGGCCAGTTCCTAGCAAAGAGCCACCGATTCAGCCAGGAACCCAGCACCACCCACACTGCCTACAAAAGGAGGGCAACCATATGAACTGAATGGTCCTCTGCCCACAATACCAGTTGAAGCCCATGTGGCAAACTTCCCCACCAGAGCCTCCTATCTGATACAAACTGAAACTGCCCCCCCAGTATTTGACCACGCGCGGTGCCTAATGGGCTGATCAGGGGGGGCTAGGCACCGGTTCCACGGCCCACAGTGAGGTCAAGGACCCTCTGTCCCTAACTGCAGATCTCACATATATGCGAAACATTCATGAGGAATAAGGTAGGGCGGCCATATTGTACAAACTTGCGACATGCTACTTTTATATCTCTCATTTTTATGTTTACAGTCCCATTAAGAATGGAGTCATAACACAAAAAAAGTTTGGTACAGTACTTAAATTTTTTTTTGAAATGTAATAGTTTGTATTGTTTGTTAGCCAAACTATGTTGTCGTGGCGTGTATTTCATGAAAAAAGCTTGTTAGAATTTGCTAACTGCTGCAGTGCATGATGGGTATGATATTTGATATTTGGAGGCTACTTAAGTTTCATCATCTGCAAATGCTACAGCTGATGTAGGCAGGCCCTAGGTGTGAATTTGGAGGGGGGGGGCATGGTCCAGTTTTGCCCCAATTCCCAGTGTACAACTGTTCTGCCACTGGGGCTGACTGGCCCTGTCTGGCCATTTGAGACATAACGTCGCTGTGGACATCTTACAATAACATTACTGTTGATTCAGGGGAGACTGATAAATGGGAGGGGCCCTGGCACTATGTGAGCCTCGAACAGCCCCCCCCCCCAACACAGGCCCACACATACAGACATCCTATCCTAATCGAATCACTTTAAATGGATGAACACTATTAACCAAATCAAACAGCAATATGTCATCTCCCATTATATCATATTATGAAGCTGCCTCCTGACAAGCAACCAAGAGTTTTTTTAACGATTTTTTTAATGTGATAATATAATTTACAAAATTATTTTTTTAAAGCACTTTACATAACTGATTTGATTAGTACAGTGAATAGTTGAACTGGGGACCCGCTGATTACGTTAATTGACAAAAAATCCGGAGATCAATAATGAAAAGGCTTTAATTAAAGTGCGATTTAGCAACATCGCCCTTGGAAAGTGATTTGTATTTAATAACTTTGTTTCCCCTTCCATCGCCATGAATATATGGTCAAACAAATTATTCTCAGAGTCTTTGCACTCAATACTACATTTGCAAAAGTCACAAGGAATACGAATTATCTGGAGAACAAGCTGGTAAAGGGATTTTTTCGTGGCTGATAAATGAGTTAAGCGCCAGTTCCACGCTTATTGTTTGTGTGAGAGAAAAGGGAGAAAGGAGGACATAAGGTTTTCTGTTACTGAATGGGAAACACTCGGTGCGCCGTTAAAAAAGATTTGAAATTACAGGCTTTCAAGGCTTTGTTTCACTTCATAATGGACATTCCATTCCCCCAGCGTATATAAACACACACACACACACATATACACATACATACAGACGCACAAGTTGTGTTATGGCCCTCTTCAAAAATTCAATTTTCTCTATAATTTTACCTTATAATTAATACAAGCCGTTTTCACGCAGGTTAAAAAAGAGAAGACACACCGGCTTGTTTCCCAGTCGCGTTTGCAGAGGTACTGAACCGGCAGCCCGGTGCGTCTCTCCGCCGTTCGTCCCCCTCCGCCGCGTATCCCGACCCGAAGCTCACGGCTCAGTGCTTCTCCTCCGGAAGCCGCCGTGATCACTGTGTCACATAGCTACAGACCGGCCGTTTTTATAAGCTCTTCATCGGAGACACCGGGCTGTGCGAGCATAGCAGACCTCACGCAGATGTATGATGCAATGCGAGCTGTTAGAAGCTGGAGTGTAACAGGCCGGCTCTCCGGGGAGGCTGTACACACGCCATCTACACCTGATGCTGCCTGGTAAAACGGGGCTTTGCTTTTCCTGGAGGCCTGTGAAGTTCGAGTGGCCTTATGCACATAAAGCATGAGTCATGATGGTAAAAAAACAACGTTAATTACAAGTTCTAGCGATTTGGGGAGTTACAGATACCAGGATATAAAAGTCAAGTGATAAAACTCAAATCCAGTGTTGGCTACGTCTTACATGAAAAATCATATCATATACATGAAGCTCACAATTATTGCTTTTTGCTATAATTATTGTTATTTATATATTTATTGCTATTATTAGTATAACATCCGGCTACTGATCTGTGCAATTCGTCATTCAACCTCAATCAAGGAAATCTCTAATAAGATTATCGGGGCCAGCCTAGTTTGAAAGGGCGGATTTACATCACATGATGGTTGTGATATTTTCGAAATAAATCGTCTGCCGCATTTTCTTCCGTCACTTTTAAAAGACAAAGCTGCCAGACAAACGCCTAAATAACAGGTTGTCTTTCCCGGCGTGCGCTGTCCGCAGCGTGAGCCGCTGTAATCGATGCCGTCTTCCCGGCTCTCTGTGGGGAACCGCCGGTTACGTGTGGTATGAAGGCTGGTTTACCGAGCAAGGCTGTATCTCAGGGAAACCACTCAAATACAATCATCATTCTAAACATTGGTCAGCTCGTATTTATGCAATGTTTAATTTGCAACCTTAAACCCGTTGTTTTCCTACAGCCCGGTATACCTCACCAACACCCTAAAACGGTAGCGTATTTTTTCCTAAATGTGGTGCAGAATTGAAGCTGACTCTTAGTGGGGATAGCTTTTGTGTGAGGTACACAGGCCTTCATCAGGCAACTTTGCATTTAAGGCAGGAGTAAAGCCAACTGACTGAATCTGCGGGTAAAGAAAACCACATGTACAAGTTCTGAACCCAGCAGATTTCGACTTACGCACAATCAGAATCACTTTTCAACGTAAGAAGAGTTGTTATTCCATTTCTCTATTGGCTACGTGGTGGTGTGTGTATATAGGTGTATGTATAGCCTAATAGGCCCTATTATATAATATTGTTTGTGGTGTTTGTATTGTGCATAATTTGACAGAAATAGTTACACCCTTTTGAATTGTCTCTTGTGTCTGTTCTGTCACTCTTTGTCTGCCTTGTATATTTATTGCTGCGGAAAAGATAAATCATGAAAGGTGTCGATTTTTGAAAATAGTGGAGAAAAAAAATGTTTTTATAGGCCTGTCATTATGCAGCTTCAGTACACGGTTCGTAATGTTTATTTTATCGACATAGCTGTGAAAATAGACTTTCAATCTAAATCATACCCAATGGAAATTAATGTTCTTAATGAACCTTCAACATAGTCAGGTGTTTTCTGCATTACTGTCTATTAAATTCCTCTCGCTTCAACATCCTTTCTTTAGAGGTTTTAACTTTCTGTCGTGTTTTAATCGCCTTCGATCGTCAGAGGTCTCATCCAAAAACAGTTGATCCAGTTATACCCCGAACTTTTCCCGGTACTTCTCATTTATCCTTATCCTTTCTTCTCGGGGTACTGAAGCCTCCGTACCTGCGGCGTTATGCCAGAGGAGTGGAGGAAAGCGGGCGCCGTCCGTCGCGCTGCATCCCCGAATCGGCATCAAACTGGCTTAGCGGCCGGCCGGTTTCCACCTGCGCGGAGCCCTGTATAAAGCGGATCGCCGTGTCACATGGCGGAGGGCGGGCTGCGCGGCGATTGGAAACCAGCAGATGCGCTAATCTTTGATTGGGAATGCGGAGGGAGGGGTCTGCCGAACCCCGGGTGGGAGGGAGCGAGCGAAGCAGCATCGCGTGTCCGAGACTTTGTGTTTCTCTCCTAATATCGCACATATCAATAATTCAGCGTGCGAGCGGACGGACCCCCGCGCTATGCATTCAGCCGCGTTTCGGCTTCACAAGGGCCGCGTTCCGCGCTGCACGGGTTATTCCATTAGTGAGTCAGACGCGCAAAAACTGGGAATGAGAGACTTTAGGAACCTCTCCAAATTTTTTTAAAAAATAAACGAGGAAACGTCAGGAAAGAAACGCTCCGCGTCTCCGCATAACACTGGAAAGATACTTACGGAGAATTCTGTTTTGGAAAAGAGAATTGAAAGTGATTTCGAAGAAACTGGAATTGTGTGTTAACGATAAGGAGTGGCCAATCTCCCATCTTTATTGAAACAACAAATAAAGAAATCTGTATGTATTTGCTCAGGATGCTGCATTCAGGTGCAACTACATTTCCAGTTATGTTTGCCTTGCTTGTAAGTGCGCTGTGGCTGGCAGGACTCGCCGGTGCTCAGAATGAGACGGAGCCCATTGTGCTGGAGGGGAAATGCCTGGTCGTTTGCGACTCCAACCCAACTTCGGACCCGACGGGAACGGCGCTCGGGATATCGGTGCGATCTGGTAACGCCAAAGTGGCTTTTTCCGCCGTAAGAAGCACAAACCACGAGCCGTCGGAGATGAGCAATCGGACGATGGTCATCTACTTTGATCAGGTAAGTGTTTAGGACGGCTGAAGTGGCTGAAAGTCGGTGGGTCAGGACATTAAAACACAGAGTGGGAAGGAGAGGAGTGAGGGTTGGGGAAACGAAGCTGTGCGAAGGAAGGCAAGTGGGTACCAGGTGAATGAAGGAGAGCGATGGGGATGACAGGGCGGGTGTGAGAGCCTATTGGACACGAACCTGTCTGTTCCCCTGTCGGTTACAGCAGCGTGGATCGCGATTTAATATGGAATACAGAAGTTAATTTTGTATTCTCGTCAAGGGGCTCGCCTAAGATTAATTTTCCTGGGCGCCGTTGCATAATTTATAACTATTTGTGGTGCCTCGGTGATTACAGTTAACAGAATTCCCTTGCTGTGTTGGTTATTTTTAACACCGCCGGAAATTTTGTCGGTTTTGCTTAGTTGCAGAAAAAGTATAATGTTTGCTAGTATAAATATGAAATTTGGTTCTGTGAAATATAAATTCGTTTGCATGACAAAACATTTATAATGCGGAATCAAAATCCCCCCTTTATTTTGATCTGTAAGCTCAAGTAAGTATTTCAAAACAAACATATTTGTCTATGTTTGTATATTTGTATCTAATTGTTAAGTTTTCTGGAAAATTCCGCGTTTTTGCAGTTCATCGCAATTATATAAAAATATTGTGTAAATTTTACTTATTTATATGTTTGTTCTCTTTAAATGTTTTTTTTCTAGGTGCTAGTGAACGTGGGGAAAAATTTCGACACAGAGAGAAGTAATTTCATTGCTCCCCGCAAAGGGATTTACAGTTTCAATTTCCACGTAGTGAAAGTGTACAATCGTCAAACGATCCAGGTCAGTCTCTCAGTTGCACTCTTTTAATCGTGAAATTTACCACCACTCGCCTTGTTAATTGTTCTGTTTCACATATGTGTCTCACATGTTATTCTACAATACATCGTTATTCGCCGTTGGTTTACAAAATGGTAAGTTGCCTATATGAATACACTGGTGAAATCCAAAAATATGTGTTGATCTGTTGCGAAGTTCTTACTATCAATCATTAAAAATACCACGGCCCCCCCTGAGAAAATGGTGGCTGCTGATGAGATGCGGCAACTAGGCAGTAATTAATTAATATGCATACACGGAAAATTAAAGAGACACGGCTCGCCGTGGAAACGCCGGCCGGACCGCCGCGATCACCGCACGGTAACCGGCGTGGCGTGTTTCCCAACTCGCCGAAAGTGTGGGAGTGCCGCCATACATAACCTACATCCTAACGCCGACGAGCTTTCCCATACGACGATTGGAATGACGGCGTTCCTTCATGCGCAAAATTAGCACATATCTTTGATCAAGCACGACGCATAAACGGCAGTGCAGCCTTAAAAGCTGCCCTATATTAATTAGAGTATATATTTCGCTAATTAAACCGTAGCATGTTGTATTTTCCCCCAAAGGTATGGGATTACATTCAATTATTAATTTCTCAGACTTTATTAATTAGAAACAAGGACGGGGAGTTTTGAGAGCGAGACAGAACCAACACAGATATAAGCAGGCAAACCGGCAGGTAGGAGCAGTTTCCTATTCACCACAGAAGCACCATTGCGCCACCTGAAACCAATGCAAGGTTCACATCCAGCACTGCAACTCGCTGTGTGGCCACCACTGGTGTGTGAAAATTTGCAGTGCTCCTCCTTTTTCGACTTCTGAGACACTGCTTTCTGTTGGGTGACAGGTGCATGCCTGTGTGTGTACTATAATAATAATTATTATTTTGATTAGCTGACACTGTTATCTAAATTGCAGTGTATAAAGACAGGGCTGTCCTTCACACTGGGAGCCTAATGCTCCTGATCTCTTTGCTTAATCACTATGTCACTTGCAACCCTTCTTCATCCACCCCCGCCCTACACCGCCCCACCCAAACCGAACCCAAACTGCCAGGGTAGATTGGGGTGTGGGAGGGCGCTGTCCCCTGCTGAAGGTGTTTAGGGGGGAGGAACTTCAGTTTTTAGTAACTGCCCCCTCCCCCCCCCCCCCCTCCCCCCCCAAGAATGAGATGGCAGTGTTGAAAAATCTTTTTAGAGGATATTTTGCAGAATTGTAAAGTTAAATCCAGTACTGTGGCTGACAGTGCCTTAAGTGAACACAATGAACCGCAAACTGCTTTTTAACTACTGTATGTTTTAACCATGCGCCTTGTTTTTCCCCAAAGTCCGTCGTTCGGTGTAGGCTGTCCCTCTCAAGGGATTGAATGAATTCTGGGATCACGGTTTTCTCCGTTTGACCAGGCCGTCCATTTTTCAAACATGTGAAACTGAAGCTATCGAATCTCTCATCTCCTTCATGTTGCAGTTAGCATTCAGCTGCGTTTTACCGTCATGGCAGCTGTCATAATACTTGTCTGCCTCTCGTCCTCAATGATGACCATTTTATTTCTTTAGATAAAGAATGTTCTTTAAAGATGGGGAAAGGTGTTTTGTTATGATGCATGAGGTCGATCTACCGCAAATGTTTAAAAAGCAAACAGCAAAGCACAACGCAGCATTTTGTTTCTTAAATTCATTTATCGGTCCCACTAGGGAGATCCGTAATGTGTACAGTTATGATTTTAATGCACCCAGGAATACCACTGGTTTTGTCAGGTGGGTTTGTTATGGGGGGGGGCACTTCTCTCATATGAGATAACACTGGGGGTTGGGACCCTGGGTCTGGGCCTGCCAAGGTACGAATGAAATAGGCCGTGTAATAACTTGGATTGTGTCTGTTTATAGCAGAATGACATCATTTCTAAGACATAACTAATAACTATTTCTTCTATACTTCCACTTACGTAGTTTAGTAATTACATTGGAGTATTATTTTTAACAAGATTTGTTATTGTTATTTTATTATCTCTTAAATTCATTTAACACACAGTTGTGGCGGTTTACCTTGGGATCATTTTAGCTTAGTTGTGTCATCCATCCATCCATCCATCCATCCATACATCCATCCATCCATCCTCTAACCCACGTTAGATGTACTGGGATGCGGGTCAGTTGCACCAATTAATTTAATCAGATGAGTTATATGTTATATGTAAAATATGTCTGTATATTAAAATACTACGCTTAAAATGTAATTAACAATTACACAATTCATTAATAAAATAATACTTTTATTAACATATACAATGTTTAAAAATCAAATGAGCATCAAATGAAACGTATCAATGAAATGTAATGGAAATAATAATAATACTGAAGGGTTCACATACTCATACAGTATTAACACAGTACTCATTCAGTACTCATATCGTACCTATATGACGTGTGGCTGGCTGCCTGATGCAATGGATGCAGTGTTCCTGCCCACACACACACACACACACACACACACATTTCTGGTACTTTACCCCACTCTCCAGTGGATGTTCACTGTCAAGTCCCAGTCCCATGTTTACCATCTTCTGCTTTATCATAATTCCCAGAAATTTCCGAGGGGATCACTGCGTGTCGTGGGTGAGCTCCAGTGTCACCCCACCAGATTGTTTCTCCCATGCTGCGGTCGAAATCAGAAAACAGCAGATAAGCCCTTTGTCCCAGGAAACCGTTTAATAAGTGCCTGGACTCCTGGAATCAACTTGCTCGTATATCTGTTTTGAATACCATATATTTTCTGTATCATTGGAGGTTCAGACTTTTCTGTTGAGGATTTTTCTATTGAGTAATATTTGTGAGTTTTCGTTTTATTATATTACACTAAAAATAAATGTAACATTTTTTATGTGCCTCTCGAAGCAGTTTTATTATTAGTACTGTGGTACAAAGCACATTTCAGTATAATCGATGGCCTGATTACATCGTTAACAATAGATCGGAAGCCTGTATTTGGTTGTTAGGCTCTTTATTGATGTAACCTTATGGAAAAATATGTTGGTTGACATGCTAACAAGCTGGAGCTTAATGTCACACCAGGCAGAGTGTTTATCATGTGCTGCTTTGTTCCCAGCTTTGCTTGCACAGAAGGAGTTGACCCAAAACTGCTGGGACGAAATACATCATTGTGTTTTTTAAACTTTCAAACACTGGCACCAACTAATTGGCGAATTCTGGGATTATCCGGTGATTAGCTGTGGTGCCATTAGTCGCAAACTGATTTAACTCACATCCAATGAGTGAATTTCTTGAGTCTTGTCGGGTTGAGCCAGGCAGTGATTGGCAGCCCTTGGAAATCTCCCCCCCCCCGCCCCCCAGGGGATTTGAAAGCTTCATTCCCCCACATCACCAGCTTTCACTGTGCTCCACTCTGTTGCTTCTATAGACACTTGTAGGTTGCGCAGTTCTCCCACAATGCACTGCAAATCCTTGGCCACATCTGAGGTCTTGTGTATGAAATGGACAGATGCTACTCCACATGACTAAATAGGAACTGCAGTAGAAATCAGATCACAAAACAGACCACCCCCCCCCACACCCCCTGTACTTGCAGCAAGAATATCTTTTTCCTGTTGAGTGTTGCAGCAACACCAAAGAGCTATGAAGACATCGGGATGGGAAACAGTGTCTTGAAAGGGCAATTGGTTTCCAATTACAGTTAAGAACAGCATTAACCGTGGGTGGAAACCCACTTACAAGATTTATATCCCGAAAAGGCTCTTTCTGCATTTCTTAATGGGCTTAATTGGGTGCTTATGCATTAATGAAGCAAGTTCAAAGGAGAGGCGTCTATACGCCCGTGCCTCCACGATGTTTTCACGCCGCTGTAATTGCAGTCAGCGGGAGCAGCTAAATAATCGTCATTCACAGACGGGGGTTGCCAAGGTTAGCGGGGCTGAGGGAGGATTGGGGGGGGCTTATTTTCAGGTCATTTACAGTCACGGAAACCACCCCCCCGCAATAGAAACTACGGACAGCCTCCCAGTTGTCTCATACAGACTCAGTTTGGGTTTCGCTAACTGAAATTTCTGACTCTGAAAGAACAAACTTGGGTTTATTCTATGTGGGTCATGCTGAAATAAGAGCGGACCCCTAGATTTCCTGCTGGATAGTACTGCCGTGCGGCGTTGTGGGCTCGGGGATTCATTTCTGAACATTTCCCTGGCTGTGTGGGATGCAACACCAGCGAATCACAGTTGAAAAGCAAAACAAACAAATTGATTCTCAGAAAAGAAGCAAACAAAGGACAACAAAGGGAATTTTTGTCTGCAGGGAGGACTTACGCACTCTGCGTCTGTGCGTGAGCGCATCTGAGACTCGATGTTTCTTTTGGGCCCCTCCCCCCTCAGCCTCTCCCGGGGTGAAATTAATGAATCTTCATCCTGCTCCAGACCCCTGTGCTTCTCCTCATCCTCTTCACTGGTGCTCCCAGTGGAACACGGAGCTGAGGCGTTCTTCATGGAGACGATTGCTGCCATGTTGAAAATGGAAAGAGGGGAAGGTTTTTTCTTCCTTGCCACGTGATACTGAAAGCAGTTCTCCCTCCATGGTGCCAAATTGGGCTGGGTGGGGGGAGAGAAATTCCCCCTGATGGATTTCTCAAATAAGTTGGGCCCCCATCTCCCGGGACTGCTGTTTGTGCCGAGCGTCAGTTTCACAATACTGTCTCATTGCGCAAACACAACAAATTGAAGTGCGTATCTATAAAATGACATCCTTCTCTCTCTCCCTCCCTTTCTCTCTCTCCTCTCTCTCTCTCTCTCTCTCTCTCTCTCTCGCTCCCAGCTTGATTTGGACTGGCAGAGTTATCTAGCCTCACAAAATAGCATGCTGATGTCTCAGTTCTGACATCTGTCATGTTGGTTCAGTCCTGCGCAGTACTATGTGCCGTTATAATTTATTTAAATATATTTATATATTAAATAAGCCAAAAGCTGGATGAAATCCTGCAGGGGGGCATGTTTAATAGGACTGGAGGTGTGTGTGTGTGTGTGTGTGTGTGTGCGTTTATTTGTGTGTGTGGATTAGGTTTATATTACATTGTGGGACCCAAATGCCAACTGATTTTGCCGTTGTGAGCACCATTCATCAGGTCCCCACAGCGATCTGTCACTGCAAGATGGTTAAGGTTAGGGCTGGGTAGGGCTTAAGGTCATAATGTTGGGATTAGAGTTTTCCCCACAGAAATAAATGGAGAGTCCCCACAAAGATATAATTACAAACCCGTGTGTGTGTGTCTGTGTGTGTGTGTGCGCGCGCGCATGATTGTATTGCAGACTTACACACTGTGTCTGTGCATGTGTGTGTAGCACAGGTGTAGACAGGGGCGAGCCACAAAGGCACTGGTTCCAGCTGAAAGCTGATTGGTCCTTGGAATGCCCCCTCCCTCGTCACTCACTGATTCAAAGCATATCATTGGCTAATGGTGAGGTTGGCCCGTCTGCATGAATTATGTCCCTGCTTATGTCCCTACAGTAATGACTACTGTAGGTGTGTTATATAAGAATTGCCTCTAAACCCTACCTTGGAAACGTCATCCAAGTTGGAATTGTGTGTGGAGTATTGCGTGTAATGGAGTATTAACGGAGAAGTAATGTATTAGTACTGCATGTGTGCGCAGAGCATGAATATGTTGTCAGTTCTCACCGCCGTGCGTGTGCCCCGCAGGTGAGCCTCATGCACAACGGCTGGCCGGTGATCTCCGCCTTCGCCGGGGACCAGGACGTGACCCGAGAGGCGGCCAGCAACGGTGTCCTGATCGCCATGGAGAAGGGCGACCGAGCATACCTCAAGCTGGAGCGGGGAAACCTCATGGGGGGCTGGAAGTACTCCACGTTTTCGGGGTTCCTGGTCTTTCCCATGTAGAGGACGATAATGGACTGAAGAACCTGGGGGACTGTGGAGGGAGGAGAGGGAGAGGGAGGGAGGAGAGAAGAGGAGAGAAACAGAAAATGGGGGATGAGAGCAGTTTGCAGACACATTCACTCACCCCGCTGCCTGACTACAGCTCCAGACAGCCAAAACTTTTTGTACCTTTAAAGCATTAGATTGAAAAGGGTAAATAAACAAAAAAGGCCAGCCCCCCCCCCCCCCCACCCCCCATTTCCCTGCACTTGCATCCGCACATCTGCTTCCAGGAATGTATCCCTGCTCTTATCCGCAGCGTCAAACCCTCGCAGCTGACATGATCCTGTGCTGCAGGTCGCTCACTCATCCTGACACGCTGGCATTTCCGCGTCCAATCCCGCAGCCTCTGCATCGACATGCGCTTCTGACCAGTCATTCTCAGAATCGTTTCGCTTCACCTCTAAATGTTACCCAAAAGCAGCCCCCGCATCCCTCCCCGCCTCCCTGTCTGAGATCACACCCACTGGCCCGGCGGTCCGCCGTACTTTCCGTGATGATCCCGCCTCGTCGCGTGCGGAAGCGGCTGAAATGAGGGACTCTCGCTCTACGCAGGATATGTATCATCCTGATGTTTCTATATGATATCCTATATGACTAAGCAGACATGGTTGAATATCTGTATTTCAGTATTTCAATGTTAATACGTAGTGATTGTGTGTGGACTATGAGGCTGCCATTACCTACTGATGCTTCTTCTTTTTGTTTTGGTCAAATGTGGCTCAACTAAAAACAATGCGAGAAAAGCTATAAAACTATAAATTTTATTATTAACTGTAAGATATATGTGAATATTTAGAAGAACGAAATCCCATTTATTTACGACCTCTTTCATTTATTTTGCTTTTTTAAAATTTGCTTTAATTCAATAAAACTGAAATAGTACTTTTAGTTTTCAGAACTAGACCCCGAGTCTCCCTTTCGCAGTCATTTTGGTACAGGCCAAGGCCCCCGCAGGATCGGGGTGGTGCGGCCCTGCGGGGGCCACGCTCAGCAGGCTGAGTCTCCCTCGGCGATGAAATGCGGCCCAGCTGATCTCTCTCCAGGGCGGAGCTGGAGAGCCTGTCTGGTGATCGGGGGTCTCCTACATCTCTTATTGCTGCTCTGAAGAATTTAATTAGCTCCTGAGGGGAAAATTAACACTGGCATAATAAGCAAAGTCCTCTGTTTATATTAAGATCATGTGCTGCTTATTTCCTCCGCATTCTCCTCTTCGCCAGGCCTGCCTTTCTGGGGCCCTCCCTCTTCTGCTATAGCAGTAAGTGTTTAATTCCACGAGAGACTGTTTGTTCTATATTTCTTTTAATTCTAATGATTACAGAGGATTACTCATCTGCTGTATTTATCTGGCGACTTGTTTGTTTACGCTCCTCAGTGCATGTTGATGCCTCGTTGCTCACACGAGTCAGTCCCAGGTCTGCATCTAAGTGAGATTTGACTAGAGGAAGTGACGTGTTGTGTTAGATTACCTACTGTGGCGACCTCAGACGGGTGGGGGGG